ACTACTTAGATAGGTTAAAAGTATATATAAATATATATAATGTTCGCTTAAATAAGTAATAAAGTTAATGACAAAATTGTCAAAGTTAAAAAAAAAAAAAAGAGGGAGTTGCATATGGTAAGTATGAGAGATACAGTGAATATAGAAGAAAGTAATGTGTACAAATTAGAATATAGTAGTTAAATCCAGATATGGTTTGGTGCAAAAACATTTGTACCTTAGACATAAAATTAAATTTGTCTATATATTGATTTTTTTTAATTTCAACTATTTATTTATAATTTTTTATGCCAAATTAAGTGAGATTTAAGCTATCTTTTGATATATTTTTTATTATATTTTTATAAAAATTTTCTTAAGCAATAAATTTTTAAATAAATTCAATTATTTTTAAAAAAAAGTAAAATTTATTAAAAAATTTTGGGTTTTAATCATTTTTGCAACCAATATGCAACTTTATAAGCTTGTACTACGCAAGTGCATTGCCATGCATATGCTGGATATACAGTTAAAATTTAGCTTAATTGAATCAGTAGTTGTTGAGATATAAATTTTTAAAGATTAATAACCAATTTACTATATAGTACAAAATTTGTACAAAATTTACTATATAATTTTGTACAACTTTTGTACTATATAGTAAATTATCATTAATTTTTAAAAATTTATATCTCAACAACTACTAATTCAAACAAGCTAAAATTTTAACTGTATGTTTAGTATATGCATGGCAATGTACCTGAATAATTTAAGCTTATGATGTTGTATATTGGCTACAAAAATGATTAAAATCTAAAAACTTTCAAAAACTTTTATTTTTTTTGAATAAAATTGAATTTATTCAAAAATTTATTACTTGATAAACATTTTATAAAAATATAATAAAAAATATATTAAAAGATAGCTTAAATCCCACTTTATTTAGCATAAAAAATTTATAAATAAATAGTTGAAATTAAAAAATTTTTATATGTAGACAAATTTAATTTTTATATCTAAGATACAAATGTTTTTGTACTAGACTATACTATACTTTTAAACTCATTAATTGAAAAAATATACAATGATTTTTTAAAAAATAAGACCACTAAGTTGTAGCAAATTAGCTAAACTACAAAATAGTGGTTAGTTTTTTGTAATATTGTTTTTATATTGAATATTATTAGCTTTTAAAATTTGTGAAAGCTTTAAGTGTTCTACACTATATTTGTTATATAATTTTTATACTTGTCTGACACGGGTTATAATAGTGTACTTTTCTTTTTCTTTTTTTTGTTTGTTTTTGTGCTATTTCTTGATAGAGGTAGCTGCTATTTCCCATGGAAGATAGCTTTTTTTTGTTCAGCCTGTCAGGGCTTATCTCTTTGTTTTTTCTTTTTTTTTACATTTTCCAGTTTCTCCATTTTTATTCCTTATTATTTTTCCTTTCTTGTTTTGTTTCTTTTTATATATAAACTCCTTTTCTTCTTGATGTATGTTCTAGTATTGAGAATACAGAACATTATTTTCTTTTGCTCTCGGTGAAGAAAGTAAAAATGAAGAGATAAGCTTTTGGCGGGCTAACAAGGTCTTTTAACTTACATATAGGTTGGTGCGACATATTGCTCTTGGGTACACCTGGGTGATGTCAGGCTTGCAATTTTCTATACTGCCATTATTTATTCTGTCCAAGTTTGTTTAATAAAGTATTGTATTTGAGCTCCGACAAGACTGTCAAAGAGCTAAAAAAAAAAAAAAAAATTTACATAATAGCTAAAAATCAATTATATTAAGTTGATTATAAAAATCTTTGATTAACTTTAAAGTTATATTATAAAAAAGACCTCTACATAATAATTATAAAAAATCTTTATAGGTGTCACATAAAATTGCCTTTTTTAACACCAGATCTATTAACACGTACCAGATCATGTGATTTTGCACATACCAATCATCATATAATATTTAATATATGTATATTATGCAAATGAAATTATTAAATAAAAACTGTAATATATATATTTAATTCAGTTTAAAGATTGTTTATTTTTCAACAATTGAATAGTACAAATTGTTTAATCATAAGGAAATATTAAATCCCAAAACTAAATTAAAGAAAATTGACTAGAATTAGCTGTACTAAATCTGTTAAAAACATATTGTAGCTTAATTTATTCAAATAATTAGTTTTGCAATCTAAGTAGGTTAACAGTTTCACTATAGAATTAAAGATTTTTGGTATATACAACAATTTGTATAATGACTTACTAAATTGGAATACTAGCAAGATGGTCAATAAAAATATATATTATTAATAAACTTACTAGTACTCCAATTAATGTGTTATAGTACGAACAGATACTCTTGAAAAATTTAACTATCTTTGATCTACACAATATATACAACTTACATGCAAATTATATTATAGTTATATTATGTAAAAAAAATAAATAAATGATAATTAAAAAAACTTTTTACATACTATTCAAGATTTTTCTTTTACTTGATATTTAGGATGTTTTATTTTCAAATTAAACAATATATTTCCATTTGTTAATAAATACTTTTATATATAATATTTATATAAAATCACATATTGAACTCTTATATACACTTATCTACTAGTAAAACAGCTTATAGAACTTAATCAGTTTAGACTTTGTCAGTTTATTGAATATTCTACTTTACTTGAACTTTTATAAAAGAAATAATAGAATCTATAATGCCTAAAGTTGATAACAAGTTTAAGTCATTAGAAGCTTTTGAAGATGCTGCAAAGTTAGCAGCTAAGGCTAATAAATTTGCCTTTGCAAGAAAGAATAGTAGTTTTACTGGACATAATGGAAAATCACCTTTTATCATTTTACAATGTACTAAAGGAAAAAAATGGTGTAACAATTGAAGTATAAGTAAGAAAACATGAAAAAGAAAAAAAAATACTAAACATGATAGTTGCTCAGTATATATTAGAGCCATTGCTACAAAGTGCTACATGACAAAAAATACTCTAAATATTGAGATTAAGTAGATTGTTACCAAAGTTGTACTTGATCACAACTATTTAATAGTTGAATTGGAAGAGGTTGCAACATTTTTTCAATATCAAATTATAAACTTAAATCAAAAAAATCTTATATGACAATCGCATGATAATAATGCACATACTTATGTTATTACGGTAGCTGTTAACAAAGTAATTGATGGTGGAATTATTTGTACAAAAGATGTTGTAAATGAGCATGCTTGTATTAGATATGCATTAAATGAAGGCTCTAATAATGATTCTGCCCAAAAGCTTTTAAGACTTTTTGAGAAACATGATTACATAGTTGTACCTTTAAAAACAGTAAAAAAACATATAACACATCTTTTTTTTTCTCATGTTGAGGCAGCCAAATATGTTGCTAGATGTCCCGAAGTTCTTATTGTAAATTCTATATATAAGACAAATATTTACAAATATTCTCTTATTAGTGCTGTTGAAATCAATAATATTGGTAACGAAAAGGAGGCATTGGCATCTTTTCAAATTGCTATGGCCTAGATAGAAGATAAAAGCAAAGCATTATATATATGGTTTTTACAAACTCTTTGTACTAAGATTTATAATGCCTATAATTGTGTATCACATGTTTTTATGTTGGATAGAAATCAGGCTTTAAGAAATGCATCATCCAAAGTATTACAAGATGCTATGTGTCTGGCATATTCTAAAACAAAATTTAAAAACTAATTATCGTAAGCTTTTTAAAACCGACGATGATTATGAGGCGTTTAAAAAAGAAGTTGTGGCTCTACGTTTTACAATACTTGAAAAACAAATTCCACAGTCCTTAAATGCAGTCAAAAAAGCTGCAGAAAAAGCTCATATGTCTAAAAAAGTAGAGTAATATATTCAGTTATTAATGAAAGACTCAAAGATGTAGATCTTAGCTTATACAAAATGGTTCTGCAATATGGGAATATCAACTACTGGGTGATATGAATCATCTCATAGTGCATTTAAAAGAGCTATTGAGATGGCAAGTAACTTGGATAGTGTCTTTTGCCAAATAGATCAGACAATGCACTTACAACACCTAAAAGCATCTATACGTATAGGTTTTAATAAAGTGGCAATTGATCCTTTTATTTATCGTGATTCTAAATTTAAAGAACTTATTGGAAATATATCTTTATGGGCAAAGTTTTAGATGCATGCACGCCACATTCGCACTATAATAAATTTATATAGTAATCTGAGTCACTTTTTACTATGATCATTCTCTGGTTGACTAGTGGATCACCAATTAAATAAAATTAATTTTAAACTTCCTTGTCAACATATAATTTCAAAAAATGAACTGATTTTTTTATCAATTATTGATAAAAGATAGTTTTTTGAAAACCCCAATATTGTAGAGCTTTCATGTTCTTCAAAGTCTTCTATTATCAATCCAGAGTTTTATAGTACTTTTATTAAGGCTGAAGAGAAATTTGAACAATTATCAGACAATGTTACTAAAATAGAGTTTATCACTAAACTTCGTAAAATAACTAATATGCTATTACTTGAGCCTGTAAAGATGTCACAAAAAGTAGTGTCAAAAGATTGTCTTCCAAGTACTAAGCGAGAATTACTTCTAACTGAGCATCAAAATGCTGCTACAAAAAAGAAAAAAAAAATGCTTAATAATATTAACAAGCTTAAGAGCAAACCTATTCAGCAACAACATATACCAATGAAACAAACGCTTATCTCTGGTTCGAATTCTAAACTATATGAGGTTAATATTCCTAAATTTATGCATGAATATATTTCTGTATATATTGATGTAGCCAAAGATAGCAATTGTAGTTTTCATGCAATTGCTATATCAATTGGAAAACCTGAAAGCTTTTGGCCAAATATTCGAGCACTTATTTATAATAAACTTTGTAATCAGAAGTCTTATTATATTTAACTCTTTTTGAAAAAAGAAAAAAAATATGATGAAATATTACATGCAACTCAATAGAAATCGAGCCCTTGTAATAATGATTATTAGATATTTATACCATCTTTTGGATATGTCATTGCAAATACTTTTCAATGACTTGTTTATTATTTTAGCAAGCTTATTTCTCTTACATTTCTTCCTGATAATATTCTATTGAATCGAAATGTATCAATTAATTTTGTCTATGTTTTTGAAAGACAACATTTTATTGCTATAAAACTCAAACCTAATGTTTCCGTTCCTTCTATTGTAAGAGGTTGGGAAGACGTATGTTCTGAGCAAAATAAAATATAGAAGCTCTTGTTCTTATCAAGAATTATTTATTTTATGAAACAATATAAAAAAGAATGTAAATATTTGCAAAAAAAAAATCAAGTAATTATATTATAATTTGATTAAAAGTTAATGTATGTATATATGAAGCTTTTTAAAAAAAAAAATTGTAGTGATATAGTAAAGTTTACAAATACCTAATTAGGTTTGTATAAATTTTTGTGTTCTATATAAAGATAAATTGCATTGTGCGTATATAGTGATAGAGAGCTATATATTAAAGAAAATAATTTCATATGAAAAGCTCCTATATTGAGCCTTCTTATGCATTTTCAATATAATTTTAATAGTTATTTGAATTATATATCGATATTGCATTTAAATATATACAATGAAAATTTTTTTTTTTTTTTTTTAATATTAAGGTGACCACTTAGGCCCTTGGCACTTTATTAGTACAAGCGGTAGGCCAATG